CCTTCCGAAGGCTCAGCAAGGGACCGGGCACGGTGGCTCACGCCTGTGATCCCAGCACTCTGGGAGGCCGAGGCGGCTGGATCACCTGAGGTCAGGAGCTCGAGACCAGCCTGGCCAACTTGGCGAAACCCTGTCTCTACTAAAAATACAAAAATTAGCCGAGCAGGGTGGTGGGTGCCTGTCGTCCCAGCTCCTCGGGGGGCTGAGGCAGGAGAATCGCTTGAGCCCGGGAGGCAGAGGTTGCGGTGAGCAGAGAGGGTGCCCCTGCAATGAAGCCTGGGCGACAGAGCAAGATTCCATCTCAAAAAGAAAAGAAAAACCAGCACAGGTGGAGAGCGGACAGGACCCCCGCGGGAATAGGGAGCCATGGAGGGCTCGGGAGCCCAGTGGCTAAGCTTCCTCTGAGGTCACATAAGCAACGGGCCTGGAGGGCTGGGCTGGGGATGGGAGACGGGGGCAGAGGCGGCGATGGCAGCTTCCAGAAGGTTCTACACGGAGCAACCTGCTGCACTTGGGGCGCCCCTTCCTTTCTCGCACCCAGGCCGTGGGGACGGGGGTCCTCGGACTCGAGGCGCACGGAGGGACCACGCACCCGCCCTCCCGGCGCCCCCCGCACCTGCGCCCACGTGGCCTCGCACACCTGCGGCCCCCGTCGGCACGCACGCGGCCCCGCGCAGCCCCCGCGCGCTCCCGCCAGGCGCGCCGAGGAGACGGGCGGGCGGGTGCGCGCGGCGGCGGCGCGCACGGCGGAGCCCGGGAGGCGGCGGCGGCGGCTGCTCGTGTCGGCTCCGGGCGGCCCCCGCGCCGCAGCCCGCGCCGTGTCCGCGGCGGAGCCGCCCAGGTGAGTGGCTGCGCCTGGGCCCGGCCGGGGGAGCGCCCACAGGCCTGGGGACCCCGCGCCCAGAGCCCCCAGCCCGCGACCCCGTCCTCAGCCGGGGGAAATTGCCCCGCGCACCCCTCCCGGGCGATCGCTCCTTGCCAGACCCCCCACGCTCCCCCTGGAAACTTTGGGGGTGAACTCCCCACCCTGGGGTCCCCCCTCCCCTCCCCTGGGGCTCCAAGGAGCGGGGAACCGGGTGGGCATCTCCCCGGCAGTGGGGACGCCTGGGAGGAGGATGCGCTCCTCTCCAGGAGGAGATGAAGGGGGCACCGGCTGGGTCTGGGGTGTGGGAACGGTCCGGAGCGCCGGCAGCCGGCGCCTTCCTGCCCTGTCTCCCCACAGCCGGGTCTGGTCCAGCCTGGGGGTGCGAAGCAGGAAGACTGCACAGGGTGTCTGGGGTCCACACCGGAGCCTGCTCCATCCCTGGAGCTGACGGCCCGGCCTGGCGGGGAGGGATCTGGGGTACAGGGCTGAGTCTCCTGCTCTGGGGGCCTGCGTCTCACCAGCACCATGGATGGTAGGGGCTTCTCTCTGACCTCCCGGGCCTCTGGGGCCTGGCCAGGGGAGGCCCTGAGCCCCATTCAACAAGTTTGGGGGAGCAGCACCTTGTGTCTTGGTCCAGGCTCAAGAAAAGCCCCGGGTCCCTGCACCGGAGACCCCCTTGTAACCGGGTTTCTCAGCATGTGCTTCGGGCAGTAACGGTGCTGGTATCCCGCACCCCCAACCCAGTTCTGAGGAGTCCGAACTTCTGAGGCGATGGGCCCCAGAACCTGCGCTGTAGCAAGCGGTCCCCGGCGACCGCATGGACGCACAGTGAGGCTGCAGCACCTCTCCCTCCGGCGGGGGTGGGCAGCGGGCGTCTGGTGTGCAGGGGTATTCGCAGAGGGACGATCTGGGGCTTGGCTGGGGGGAACCCTGGGGAAGACAGAGCTGTGAATACCAGAGCAGTCCAGGAGGGCTCCCTGGAAGTGGTGTGGAGAGGATGGAAAAGGTGTGGTGTGTGAGTGGCCAGGTGGAGGATGCAGGCTGAAACAGGTTCAGAGAGGGTGGCGCTGGCTTTGTGAGGAGGCTGGTGCCGGGTGGGCTGCCGGGGCATCTTACCCTGGCCCTTCTCTGAGCCAAAGCAGCAGCCATCATCGGAGACAGGGTCCGAGTGGGAGGAGCCCATGGCTTCCCCTGTCGGCCCGGCTCCTGTGTCCACCTGGATCATGTGGGGTGGCAGGAAGGGGTCAGCTGGGCAGTGGGACCGGGGCTTACGAGGCTTCAGCTCAGCCTTCCCCACCCTGACTGGTCCTCGCTGGTGACTTCCAGCAAATGATCCGCTCTGTCAGATTCACCCCACACGGCGTTAAATGAGATGCTGCCCACCTCCGCTCCGGCTCAGGGTACCGCCATTAAACAGATGCTCAGGTCACGATGGTCACAGCAGCAGCCTTGCCCAGCCCCCCACCAGCCTCTGTGCTCCCCTCTGTCCGGTGGGGGAGGCCACTGCCATCCACCCCCAGGGTAAGCGGGACCTGCAGGTCCTTGCTGAGTGGGAACAGAAGGCAGTTTGATGTCTCTTCCCACAGCGCTGTCATTCCCGGGAGCGCCTGAGTCACTACTTCATCACCAGGTAGAGAGCCTCTTGAAGAACTCCGAGAGCAACGTTTGCCCCGGGTGGGCCTCCCTGGAGCCGCCCACCACCTCATGTCAATCCCGGGCTTCCAAAGAGCGCCCTCCACCCTCTAGGAGGGAGCTGGGATTTTGTGGGTAGAAGCTGGTGTCAGATTCAGGTTCCAGTTAAGTGATGCAGGGATCTGGGGCCCACTCTGACCCTCAGTCTCCTTCTCTCCAAAATGCACTTTATTCTTTTCCCTCGGGTGAAGTGGCCGATGTAGACTGGATGCTCCAAAACTGGTTCCAAATCTAGGGGTCCCTCCTGCAGAGGGCAGTCCATGGCCGGGGTTCTGGCTGGGAAGGAAAGTGGGTCGGGAGGCCCCTAGCCCCTCGAGGGGATGACAAGGACTAACAGCAGATGGAAGCTAATTAGGGCTTAATGAGTTGTCATGGATGAAGCCCCGGGAGGGCCTGGATCTAGGACAGAGGATGCAGGGGTCCTGGGGGACCAGCGGCGCGTCCCCAAAAGCAGACCTTGCAGGGCAGCGTGCTGTGAGGGGCTGGACCCCTCCTCCCATATCTGTCTTAGAAGCTCAAATGGGGGTCGGTTCCAGACCACACTCCCCTTACTCCCAGCGCCCCAGTTGTGGTGGGGGACAGAGGGAGGGAGGATGGAGGTTGCTGTGGGCCGGGGTACAGAGGGGGCCACTACCACGCCTCTCAGCCCTGCCCGCTCTGGGTTCGACCAGCCTCCAGGAGGGCCTTTCCCAAGGGAGACTTCCGCATCCCTGCCCTGGGCACGGACTGGAGGGAGGATGGGTTGGAGGTAACCTTGCAAGAGGGCGGAGGGGAACAGCCCTGCAAAGAATAGAGGGGGAGGCTTGGCAGGGCCGGGGGCTTGGCTGGGAGCCGAGGCGGGGAGCTGCCCACCAGGCACCTAGCGGGCAGGGTTCCGCCCCTGTTCCAAGGATGGACCCCACCACTCCCAGCCACACTCCGCCTCCTCCTTGGGCGAAGAGCTTCCTGGACAATTAGTCCAGGCTCTAAGGACAGTTGGGGACACAGGAAAGAGGGGCCTCCCTTTCCCAGGTCCTGCCGTGGGGGACAGTTTTCGGGAGGGGGTGCCCAAGGCCGATGCCTGCACTGAGGCTGATGGAGATCGCAGACCCCAAGGAGAGGCCAGTGTCCCCCACCTTCTGCACCCCAGAAGGCAGGTGCACCGCCTCAGGAGGCCTCCCTCTTAAGACTGCAGTGACCCGGTATGAGTCCTGGCCGCTGTGACAGCAGTGGCTGAGAACCACACACATTTATTATCAGACCCCATGGAGGGAGTCCAAAATGGGCCTCACTGGCATAAAACCAGGGCATGAGGCTGGGCGTGGTGGCTCACACCTGTAATCCCAGCTCTTTGGGAGGCCGAGGCGGGTAGATCACGAGGTCAGGAGTTCGAGACCAGCCTGACCAACATGGTGAAACCCTGTCTCTACT